TATAATTTGATGACTTCCCTCTCCCTGTGGTGCAGGTCTCACGGGTGCGCTCCGACTCTGTGGCCCAACACTTGGTTTTATGCTCTCATCCTATTGTCTGACTTATTATGAAAACCCATTTCGTATAAAAATATTTGTACTGTATTTCCCTTATTTATGGAAATAATTAATTACAAATTGATTTATAGTTGATCCGGGTATCGATAGGCGTGACCCTCGATGGGTGGGTGCTTGGTGGATTGGGTTTATTGCAATCGGCACCGGTATACTCATATTCACAATCCCAATGTTTCTATTTCCCCGAAGTTTTACTAAAAGTGATAATAAAACCAGTGATGCACTCAATGGTAACGCCATAGGGAATAGAAGTCCTGCTAAAGTGTCTCAAGAAAAAAGTAAATAAAAAAATTCATACTTTAGATAAAACTAATGCATTTTATTTAACTATAGCTGTATGGGAGCGTACTCTACTCCTGGTCAAAAATCCCATTTATGTTTGCTATGTATTGGGAACGGCTGCACGACTGTTTGCAGTGCTCGGGTATATGACATTCAAATCCAAATACATTGAGTCTGAGTACAAAACATCGGCGTCTACTGCCAACCTATTTTCCGGTACTCTATAAGTTAAATAAGTAATTAAATTCATTTACTTAACCCATGTTTTATGTCTCAATGAATAGGTATAATAGGTGTCGTGCCCACAGCCACCGGTGTATTCCTGGGCGGACTGTTTATCCGTAAGTTCCTTCCCGGGCCTCGAGTACTGACAGCTTTCATAACAATTGTCGAAATGATTGGAGCGATGGGTATGTTCTCAGCCCTATTCCTGGGTTGCCCGCAGTCCCAGTTCGCGGGAACTACACTCCAGTCACAGTAAATATAACTCATCCATAAAATAAAACCATATTTGACATAAGTTTTCATATAATACTAGATTTGAGTTGCAATCCCAGTGCAACTCCCAGTGCCAATGTTCAACTAAATTGTTTCAACCCATCTGTGGTCCCGACAATATAACCAACTATTTCTCGCCCTGTTTTGCCGGATTTCATATAATACTAGATTTGAGTTGCAATCCCAGTGCAACTCCCAGTGCCAATGTTCAACTAAATTGTTTCAACCCATCTGTGGTCCCGACAATATAACCAATTATTTCTCGCCCTGTTTTGCCGGATGTCAGTCACAATTAACCAATTTAACAGCTAATGTGAGAATAAATATGATCAGTGTCATTTTAAAGTCAATTGTTTCATATTAGTTATACTCAGACTGCGATTGCTTTGAGGGATCGGCAACCGATGGCTACTGTGAAACGGATTGTGGCAATAATTTTCACATTTATATCACACTTTTAGGCATAAGTAATATAATCGGGTGTTTGGCTAAAACGGGAAACAATATCATATCGCTTCGGTATTAAATGCACAGAAATCTTAAATTTTCATAAATTATTATTTTATGTTTTAATTACAGAATCGTTAGGAAAGAGGATAAAAGTTTTTCCATCGGATTAATGACTGTTTTCATGTCTATATT